TCCTAGGAGCTGGCTGAGTCACAGACACTCGCTACTGACTAAATGACTCTGTGAGTTTTGTTTCTGATGATCTTCACTGAATCCCAAGAAATGGAAGAGGTACTGAAAGACTGGGTCAAGAAAACACCAGAGGTTTCAAAATCTCTCACTTTCAAAGAAGAGAATGCGGGTGGATCCCACGGACCAGCGGACAAACGCTGCGTGCTGTTGTTATCTGCACGACTGGCTAAGGTAGACCTGGGTCATCACCAGAGATCAGAAGGGCTTCTCCAAGAAAATGGTCAGCATAGAGGAAATACATCCTTGCCTTGATCAGAGCAGAACTGCGGCCACAGGTATCTGGATCTCAGGTACGTCACTGGCCAGACTGCTCCCGAAACCCTTGGAGACAAGATGGATACAGAAACCAGGATTGAACGCGGAGGGATTAAAAACTGACAAAACAGTTTTATTAAAGGAAGTGATGGCTAAGTAACTAACATTATTTAGAAGCCAACACATAGGGACCAGCGCGGTGGCCTAGCGGCTAAAGTCCTTGCCTTGAATGTGCTGGGATCCCATGTGGGCACTGGTTCTAATCCCAGCAGCCCCACTTCCCATCCAGCTCCCTGCTTGTAACCTGGGAAAGCAGTCAAGGACGGCCCAAAGCCTTGGGACCCTGCACCCGCGTGGGAGACCCGGAAGAGGATCTGGGCTCCTGGCTTCAGATTGGTGCAGCACCAGCCATTGCAGTCACTTGGGGAGTGAATCATCAGATGGAAGATATTTCTGTCTCTCCTCCTTTCTGTATATATCTGACTTTGCAATAAAAATAAATAAATCTTAAAAAAACAAACAAAAAAAGGCTTGTACTTTAGCAGAGATCTATTCTCAAGCCCTCACCTTCTTCCTCTCTTTCAGTGAGACAGGAAGAGAACTTCCTGCTGCTGTTTCACTCTTCAAATGCCACAACAACTAGGGCCAGGTCAGCCCAAAGCTAGGGCAGGAACTCTGTCCAGGCTTCCCTCGTGTGTGGCAGGACCCCAACTGCTTGAGCCACACCTGCTGCCTCCCAGGCCCACACTATGAGATAGCCGGTGGGAGATGAACTCAGACACTCCAAGCCGGACATACGTCTTAACTGCTAGGCCAAAAGCCTGCACTGTAGCAAGGGACCTCAGGTACCAGCCAGACAGGATCAGACTCATGGCTCAGAGGCTGAACAGGCGGGGGGGTGGGGGCATTGTAGAGTTTTAATGATGTCCTGGGCCGGGAGCAAGAGAAGGCACAGGAGGAAGAGCCCTAGATGACCCCCAGGGTTGCCTCAGAAAACCACTCAGAAGACCAAGGACCAGGCGTGAAGGGGCGGGCTTGCTTTAGACTTACTGAGCCGAGGGCAGCACTGGGGGAGATCCACTGGGGAACAGGGATGGCAGCTGTGTGAATTAGGGTGAAGTCAGAGATAAACAGAAGACAGGCTCGGGAGAAAGCCAGTATTTAAGGGACTAGGGGAAGAATCAGAATGGAAGCTCTGAGGGAAATGGCCAGGGTGATGAGACAGAGCAGGTGAAGGGACTCAGCACATTGGTCAGAAGTCAAGACAAGGGCGGGCGTTCAGATCTGGGCCCTGATGACCCTGGAGGAGCATGTCTGTGGAGCCACAGCGTCAAAGAGGGAAGGGCGAAGAAGCAGAAGGGCAACGCTGTGGGCACGGCAGGAAGGAAGCCAACACCCAAGCCACACACACCGCCCAAAGCCCAGCGTCCTCCATGATGATTCATCTTGAGTGAGGGTCCCACACAGCCTCTCCTGCCCATGCAGCTGAGCCTCACTCTCCGCCACACTTCAGGCACACTAACCCAGTCCTGCTCCTTTGGATTCTTATCAGGCCCTGCCCTGAGCGGCACCCCACCCTTTGAGAGGAAGACTCCTGCCAGATGGGGACAGGTCTTCCTTTCCTGAGACTGCCTGCACTCATGTCCCGGTGGGTCCCTCTGTCTGCCCTTCAACAAACGCCCTTGCAGTCCCCCCTCCTTCCATGTCCCGGCTGTACTCGCACATACCGAAGACAAGAATCTGGACTAAGCCTAGCTGGTGCCTCTGAGCCCAGTCAGGGGTATCAATCTCCACCACGTAATTTGGGGATCCCCATTCCCATAGTGGCAACACCTGACAAATCTCCCCAGCAGTGTAGCAAGGAGGAGGCCACCTGCGGGGCTAGCAGAATGTGGTGGGAGAGTGCCCTGTTTCCCAGAAAAACAGTACTCTGAGGTCACTGAAATGGAAATCTTGATTTAAAAAAAAAAGTGGGGCCTGGCACAATAGCGTAGTGGTTAAAGTCCTTGCCTTGCACATGTCAGGATCCCATCTGGTCACCGGTTCTAATCCCGGTGGCCCTGCTTCTCTCCCAGCTCCCTGTTTGTGGCCTGGGAAAGCAGTCAAGGATGGGCCAAAGCCTCAGGACCTTGCACCAGTGTGGGAGACCCAGGAGAAGCTCCTGGCTCCTGATTTCAGATTGGCTCAGCTCCAGCTATTGTGGCCGCATGGGAAGTGAACCATCGGACGGAAGATCTTCTCTGTCTCTTCTCCTCTCTATGTATCTGACTTTCCGATAAAAATAAATAAAAAATCACTTTTTTAAAAAAAGTGAACAAATGGTGGCACCAGGTCCTGAGCAGAGGAGGGGGCAGGATTCCAAGCCCAAGAACCCAAGTGAGCCCTGGCAGGCGAGAGCGAAGGACAGAGCACAGCTGGGAGCCTTCCCCGCAGCAGGCTGAGGGCACTGGAAACGTGGGGCAAGCAGGAATGCTGTGTGAAGGCATTGTGTAAGGACGCTGCGGAGCCCAGGCAGTAACACAGGGTCATTCACAAGTCCCTGGGAAAATGGAACTTAAAGCAGGGGTTCGGTACAAAACAAGGTTTGCTTTTTTTTTTCATGCTATATAGAAAATGTGTACTCTGAGAAAACTATGCACAGATGTAAAAAACAATTTCACACCAAAATAAAGACATTCTTACAACCCCACTTTTAGGTGAGCCTTTTGGTGTGTCCTAGCGTGTAAACGCTGACGGAGCTCTGCGCTGGCCTGATGGCGACAGGCCCCTGGGCAGGCCAGGACGCTTCCCCTTCCCCCCACTCACCAGGGCGACAGTCACAGCCTGGACACTGGTCACCAGGATGGGTAAGGCGGGCGGGAGGACAGCCAGAGGGGGTCCTCCAGAACTGGGTCGCTGGCTGTTACCCAGAGCACAGGAATGCACGCGGAGCACCCGTGATCAAAGCCGCCCTCCCCACACCTTAATTACACAGCGTGGCCTTCCTCCCTGCACAAATTGGGCTGTCAGGAGGAGGGAAGGAGCGCAAGAGGAAGGCGGTCAGCAGTGAGTTCATGCCAAGGACAGAAGTGGAGGCGAGGGTGGCCGACTTGCCCATAAAATCTCAGAGTCAGGGATGACCAGTGAGAGACCCAAGGACTTGGCGGGTTCTGCCGCTGCCTCCCACGCAGTCATCAACAGCTGCCCACTGCCCCGCCTCCCTGCTTGCTCCGAGGCTGGCACCATGCCCAGCACAGCCCACCCTCGGGCCTCTGCATGGCCCCTGGCTTCTGCGGGCCTGCATCCAGTCACTCGTGCAGCCCCTGCCCGGTGAGTGCAGTCACCCCTCCGCGGCCTGGGAACCACAACGCAGAGACCAGCGACACTCCAGTCCGAAAGTCTCCAGCGCCTGGCTCGCCATCCCGATGGCTGAGAAAGAAGTCCAAACATGTCAGCGTGGCAAGGTCAGCTGCCGCTGCAGACTGAGTGTTCTTATTTGCTGAAGATTTGACTGGTTTGATTTGAAAGGCAGAGTCACGGAGAAAGGGAGAGAGCTTCCACACATTGGCTTACTCCTCCAGAAAGCCACAACATCCAGAGCTGGGCCAGACTGAAGCCAGGAGCCCCAGTCCGGTTCTCCCACGTGGGTGACAGGGCGCCCAAGCACTCGGGTTGTCTCCCACTGCTTTTCTAGGTGCTCTGACATGGAGCTGGACTGGAAATGGAGCAGCCAGGAATCCAATCAGTTGCTTATTTGGGATGCTGATGTTACAGGTGGCAGCTTAACCTTGTGTGCCACAAACTGTGCCCCTTACACACTTGCTGTAACCTACCACTGCTAAGCAACCAACCACGGCATTCAACCCACATTTCTCCTAATAGATGGGGAAGCTCAAGCTTAGCACGGAAGTGATTTAGACAAGAACACAAAACCAGTTCAGTGGGGCCCAGCACAATAGCATAGTGGTTAAAGTCCTCACCTTGAATGTGCTGGGATCCCATATGATCACCAGTTCTAATCCTGGCCAACCTGCTTCCCTTCCAGCTCCCTGCCTGTGGCCTGGGAGGACAGTCAAGGATGGCCCAAAGCCTTGGGACCCTGAACCCGCGTGGGGGGACCCTGAGGAAGCTCCTGGCTCCTGGTTTCAGATTGACTCAGCTCTGGATGTTATGGCCACTTGGGGAGTGAACCATCAGACGGAGGATCTTCCTGTCTCTCCTCCTCTCTGTATATCTGATTCTCCAATAAAAATAAATAAACCTAAAAAAAAAAAAAAAGCCAGTTCAGTGGCAAAGCTAGTACCGGGTACACAGGGGGACTGCGGTCAGTACTCTTAGCATGTGAGAGGCCACGAGATCCTTCACAAGGAACCCTTCCTTCCCTCCTTACTGCCCGCTGACCCACAACATGACACACTGCGATTCTGTGGGCCACCTGCACGCTGGGCATTCTGCCCATGGCTGTATACACCCGACTTCCCTTCACCTGGCTAGTCCCTCCCATCTTTTAGGGCTGGGACAAAGCAGGGCCTCCCCAGAGAAGCCATTCCTGGTGCGTTAGCCTAGCTCACGTTCACATCAGATACCTCCACCACGCTTCTGCAGCAGCTTCCCACGTCACTGGCATGTACCTCCAGAACGCATCCGTCAGTCAGGAATGTGTCTGTTCAAGCACACTGGCCAAGCTGGACAATAACAGAACACACCTGACACGGCAGGCAGGCATCTCAGGAAGCAACTGCAGTCCCGGGCTGCAGTCGGACTGGAGTTTTCACAGGCAAGAGCATGGCCATTGGCTAGCTCCCTACTCCTTCTCCCGGGATTCTAGTGGGTGGAGGGCTTTCTGGGTAAGGAAGACTTTGACTTATAAATGGTGAACTAAAGACAGGCTGTGCTGCTCCTGTTCAACAGTGCAGGCTGGACACACAGCAGCAGACAAGCCAATGCTCACACTCACTCTGAGAAGCAGGCCTGGGACAGGAAAGGGAACCCGCTGCTGAAACAGAGTTGTGCAAGCAGCTGCATCAACAGTTTCAAAGCTGTGTCATGTGAGAGCAGGGAGGAGTCAGCCAAGGAGAGCAGAGGCAGCAGCGGCAGGGGGCAGGGGCTGGTGCTCTGACCCACCTGCACCACGTCGGGGGGCAAGGAGTGTGGCAAGAGGCGCTCTCACAAGCCTGGCTTTTCCTTCACTGAGGTGTTAGCTCAGGAGTCACTTCCTCATAAGAGAACTCATCCCTGGCCAGATACCGGCTTCTATACAAATGTCTAGCTTTCTCACCTCCTTGAAAAAAATGAAGGAGAGCAAGCTCTCCCATCCGCCAGCTCACTCTCCAGGGACTCCACCCTGGTCTTCCACTGGGTGGCAGGGAACCAAGCCCCGAGCCATCACCCACTGCCTCCCAGGACACACAAGCAGCGTAGTGGGTACTTACTCGAAGCAGCCCTCTGATGAGACACAGCCTAAACTGTAGGGCAACATGAGCTGCCCCAGTCAGCTTTCAAAACAGCTTCTTCTGTTCCCCCCCCAGTGTCTATCCCATTACCTCATGCCTTTTTAAATTTACTTTCTGCAGCACTCATCAATGTCCCAAACATCTGCCTCCCCTTCAAAGCATATTTACTGACAATCACTACAAAATGTAGGAACACGTGCCTCATCTTAACTATGCCAAGTTACTGCCGCCCACAGTAACGCCTGACACGTACAGGCACTCAAATAGGCATCGCTATTTAATCATCTAACAAACATTTACTGAGTATATACACTTGAAGGTTTGTGGAAAACAGAAAAATTTATTTTGGAGCAAAAACATCATGAAATCCACGCATTTTTTCCCCAAAAAGTTTGCAATTTGCATATTACAGGGGCAGGGCTTAGCAGGTACAACCCCCAGGTGGGATGCCTGCACCCTACACAGCCAAGGCACCTGGTTTGGGACCCATCTCTGTTCCCCACTCAGGCGGCAGGTTCAAGAAGCTGGGTCCCTCCCTCCCACAGGGTAGAGACCCCGAAGGGTGCCTGGCTCCAGGCTTCACTTTGGCTCCAGTTGTTGGGCATTTGGGAGGGACCCGGCAGATGGGAGTGCTGTGTCATACCTTCATACGTGTGTGTATGGAGGGAGGGGGGAGTCGGTGGGAGAGGGAGTCTGGGATGCGGAGGCCCGCCCTCAGCAGCGGTCACTGAGCTTGAGTCCTGGCTGGAGCCACGACCCCTCCTTCCTGCTCAGGTGCACCCTGGAAGGCAGCTAGGCCACCTCGGGAGAGGACCTGGAATGGGTCACCGGCTTTGTCTAGGTGCAGCTCCAGCTCCGGAGCATCTGTGGCAGGAGCAGGTGCGAGTTTGCTTTCTGTTAGTTTACAACGAGTTCGTCTCGCTTGGTATCTGAGCGCATCGGCCCACGTCAGAGCTGCAACTCCATTCCTCTAATGACAGGTGCGTTAGGGCTGTGCAAACAGTAACAGCCCGGTGCTGACCTCCCTGAACCCACCGCGGGGCCGAGAACCCCTCGGCCTGACCAACCCCCCACCTAACACAGGACGAGTTATGGGCATTCCCACTTCATGGACGAGGAGAGGGCGGCTCAGAGAGGAGAGGGGCGAGCCAGTCACAGCCAGGACGTCCCGACATCGGAGACGCCGGGTTCTCCCTGTCAGGGGACACGAAGGATCGACTCAGGACTGACCAACAAGGGGACGCGGCCGGACAGAAAGGGAGGCAGCGGAGTTAGTAACTCCCTGGAGTTGGCAGCCCCGCCCCCTCCCCCAGAGGCCGGCGGAGGAGGACCCTAAAGCCTGCTGCTCGGCCTGCTCGCCGCCGAGCTCGCCCCTTGGCACAGACTCCCCCAAAACTGGCCTCGCAAGACCCCATCCTCCCTGGCCCTCCACGGCTCACTTACCGCCGCCCAACTTCCGGCAACCAACGCGCCGTCGACAGTGCGCACTGCGATGACGTACGCGGCCCCGCCCCCGCCTGCCTGGGAGCGCACCGCGCGTGCGCACTGGAGCCCGGGAAATGCGCCCCTAGCACCGGACCAAGTGGGAGGACCTGGACTTCAGGGCGGGCCCGGCTTGGGCACCTGCTGATCGCCGACTGCGACTGTGTGTGTGTGTGTGGTTCTAAATGGGTGTGCAAAGCTCTGGACAGGAGTTGATCATACCACGGTGAGCATGATGAATTTCTCCAGGTGGCCTTTCCCAGAGTGATTCTGATGTGGCCGTATGTATAAGCTGTATAAGCTGTGATGAACAAGAATCGTGGCCATAACCGGTGCCAAATCCAACCCCACAAAGGCCATGCCTGGTGGCTGCTGCGTCATGAACTCGAAGCATTCAGCGGCTGGCCCAAAGGCTCCCGGGGCCAAGGAGCCAGAGTTGTCATGGAAGTCTGATTTAGACTCAGCAAGAAGACACATCTCCAGGAGGATTGATGGCAGCAGCTGGGCAGGGACCACGCGGGTGATTGACAGAAAAGATCAACACATGTCACAAGGACTGGACACACAGAACCAGGAGAACAACAGGGAATTGGGATGGGAGGTGGCTCAGTAGAAAGAAGGGGGGGCTGTGCCCTGAGGCCAGAGGCCAGCTTTGTCTGGGGACAGGCTGGACAGGAGCTTGGGAGCCTGGGAAAGGAAAGACTTTTTACCAAAGTTTAGTCTCTCTCATTTAAATACTTAAATAAGTGAAACAAACAAAAATTCCCAAACAGACGCTCTTTATCATGTGTATGCAATGTAATTAACTTGAAGGTATCTACCGTCTAGCCACCTTACACTTCTCTGTTTATTTGAGCTTTAGCTCCTTATAAACTTGTCTCCCCTACTGGGTGCAAGATTGATTTTATTGAGTGAGCGAGAGAGAGAGAGAGAGGAATCTTCCAGCCATCACTGATTGGCTTCTAACTACCTGCACCGTCAGGGCTGGGACAAACCACTGCCAGCACCCACAGCACCAGCTGGGTCTTTCATGTGGCCCACGGTGCAGGGGCCCAGGTACTTGGGCTGTCTTTTGCTACTTTCCCAAGCACATCAGAAGGAACTTGGATTCAGAGGCAGAGCAGCCAGGACTCAATTCGGTGCTCATAAGGAATGCCAGCATGGCAGGTAGTGGCTTAAGCCCTGCCTTCAAGATCTTACACTAGATGTCTTTGGGAATTTGTGCCTGGGTCGTGATGACCCCTGTGTCCCTGGGCACTGTCAGTCCTCTAGCCAAGTTTGTACCACATGCACCTGCCCAGCCCGAAGAAGAGGTCACAGGATGACCATTAACCTATATTCTGACTTACAAACGGACACTCAAGGAGAGTGGAGATTGATAAAGAGGTGGTACGAGAATGCACAGTACACATGGGCCAGAACTCATAGCTGCTCACTTTACCCATGAGGGCCTGAGAACAACGCTGGGAAGACTTGCTTCTGCTTCCCAGGATGGCATGGGCCGGCCCCTGGGACACCAACTACAGGTACAGGACCAGGGGCCAGAGAAAGGCTGGGAGCATCCCCAAGCATGGCCTGGCAACCAGGAGCATGACACTCCCTCAAGACTGCAGTGACTCCCCAGTTATGCTGCAGCTCAGTTGAGGAGGTGACCTGCTTCCGACAATGACAACTACACACATGCCCAGCTAGGCTCCCAGTGTTGGAGGAACCACCATGTACAGGACGTGGGAACATTCAGTCTTTCAGCACCATGCCTTCCCAGCACGGAGGGCGCCTGATGGCCAGGCCAGACCCTCGTGGTCTTCCCTTACATGAGACAACGACGTCCACCCCCTGGAGGTTCACATGGAAGCTCGCCTTTGGAGCAGAAACCTGCATGTTTCCAGTGGCCATGCAGCTAAATGGTCAGTTTCTCCAATGGTTTGCTGACTGAGATGTTCTGAATATACACTCTGCCAGCATCACAGGCCTAATAGATGGAAGCTCTTTAAAGATTCATGTGATTGGCTTGTTTTCAGTCTGTCTTCAGAGGAGCATCTTTACAAAAGAGTTATGTACAAGAAACACAAAGTGATAAGAGAGATCTTCCACGCACTGCCTCACTTCCCAAATCACCTCAGCAGTCAAGATTGGACCAAACCACAGCCAGGAGACAGGAACTCCATCCTTCTGGCATGTGGGTGGCAGGGACCCAAGCCCTCGCAGGAGCACTGGCAGACACTGCCTGGGGACATGGGGTGTGGGCATCCTCCAAGGCAGCTTAACCCCCAGAGAAGCTTTTAAGGAATTTTCTATTTATCAGAAGCTAAGGATGGCTTGCTCTTCCTCTGACTATACTGGGCTTATGAACACAGATTCCTCTCGAGTGCGTTAGCGTTGAGCCACTAGGTCTACTCCTTCTGTTCCCTGCTCCCGGCTTCTCTTCAGTCTCCCTTTCCAAGCCTCAGTTTCCCCTTAGTCTCCATTTCCGTGCCCTTCCATTCCCCCAGCCTGCCCCAGCCCCACCCTGGCGTTCCCTCCTCTCTTGCTTGTCTCTCCTCCACTCCCTCTGCTACCCCTGGTGTCTCCCACCCCTCCTTTTGGTCTCCCCTATTCTGCCCCTCCCATCACCCACACCCACAGTCCCTTCCTGTAGAAGGACATCGTGACCCTAGAAGGTGAGCGAGCACAGAATTACAATTGATTGGATAACATTTGTATGAGAACAACTAGATGGATGCCATTTGTGTGACTGGACATCATTTGAATGAGAACAACAGAGTGGACAGCATGTGAATGAGAACACTTGGTGGGATATACAAAACAAAAGGAGTTCCAAACAAGAGTATAGAAACAGTTGATGGGCTTTGTTGATAAAGCTCCTCCCTTGTCCTATGTGACACTCTGTCTATAAAGTCTGATGGCGTTAAGTAACTTGGGCTTTCGACCAGCAGTCAGTAGCCCATACGTGTTATTATAGGCTCCGTGCACCAAGTCCATTGCTGCGAGTTCAGCTAACGACTAAGTTCATGATGAGTGGCTCCTTGATCCTTCCCCAAAAACCAAATTCAAGCAAGAAGAATTGTAGGGGATATAAAACAGAGTGGGAATAAAGGTTTTTATTAAAAAAGTAATTCCTGTCTGAGAGGCATTTACAAATATGTCCAGAAACCAGCAAGAACACACCATCAAACTCTGGAACTCTGGAATATTCTACCGTATATCTGATACAATTCAGTTAGAGACCCCAGACGCTCACAAATAAATAAGTCACAGGACAGTGCGCACTTCAGGGGCAAAGAGATCCGCCACTGAACAGGGTGTGCAAACAGGAGTGCAGGGCATACAAGGCACCTGGACTGGCTTTTTCCTGCGCCACATGTGCAAGGGCTCAGCGTCAAGCTTTAAAACACACACCACATCCAGATCACAACATAAACCCTGAGTAAAACCACAGGTTCCCTCAACCTGGTGAGTTTCTAGAGTGCAGCTATGACTTAGGGAAGAGCATGACTTTCTGACAAAGCTAACGAAACTCACAGATTAAAAATGTCACATCGTCTGTCGAGCCCACTGACCCACTCACGAGTCATTTTGGGAATGGTCACCATTCTTGGGAATAACTGTGTGTGCGTGGCTGTGTGTCTGTGTGAGGACACACTGCTGCCTGCCAGAGGAAATGAGTTACAAGTGAGATGGAACCCCCACGGGCTCCATTCTCACCGTCCTATACAGGAGACGCAGGACCTTGGCATCTCCTCCCATCTGGCTCCACCTCAATTTGCACCTGTGCCTGCTGGGGCCAGTCACACCGCCTTCCTGTTGTCGTCATCCTGGGACTTAAATGGCATGCGCTTTTTG